CACCTGCCGCATACGACTGGTCAATGTGGACGCGCTGGACGGGCCTCGAGCGTTCGACCTTTCGGCTCTGCGTCAGGGGCCTGACGGCGGATGGTGTGGTCGAAGATAAAGATCTTTGAGGCACCAGTGCTGTGGTGTGTAAGAATTTTCCATGGTCAAAAACCCTCGGCAACTTACACATCCTTGAGGAGCTGCTCCGTTTCGAGATAGTATGAAGCCTTAATCTGGTCATCATCGAGGAAGTCGCGTTCTTGCGCTGTATGTCGATGAATCTGGAACCCGTTGGAATCGAGCGAGAACTCAGCCTCCCGGCCTGAAATGTCTTCAACGGTGACTTTGTGAGATTCGAACGGTCGGTCGTAAGTCTCAGGGCGATCAACGTAGGTAGGGTGAGGAGGTGAGCCGTCCTCATTGGGTTTGAAGTAGTTGAGGGATGTCTCAACGTCATGACGGGACTGTTTGGGTGCGTTCGAAGTCTCGACTTGGACGGGGTTATCGATACTCTGGAGAGAACCGAAGGTCCCTGTGGGAATCTGGTGAACGATGGCGGCGGCCATGATGAAAGGAATCTGGGATAAGCAAAGGCTGATAGCTATAAAATTAAGAGACCAACGACACGTCGGTCATGTGATTTCTGGCAACGGTCTTGTGAGTCTTGCGACGCTATCTTTGGGCGTGGACTTCGCCCTTTTTATGCGATGGTCACCTCAACAGACACCCCGCGAGCACGCCATCCACTCCTCAACTCGGTTGATCAAGGGATTGATAAGCAACCCAATGAGATGTGATCTGGGCACGCTGGCAAGGCGCGAGTGACGTAGACAACGCGAGAAGATGCTCGATTATAAATAAACATTGAAAAGGATTACTGGATGACGGTTATGCATGTAAATCCACACATGGTGTGTAAGCTACGCCTGTTGCACGATGATTGAGATTCATCAGAAGCATCGACCACCACGGCGAAGATTTCACTAGCAGTCTTTCAAAAGAGCACAACTAACATACACCCAGTTCTATAAATAGAAAGAGTCTACCCTCTATGATACTTCCAGTGACAACGCTGCCGCTCACAACGGTTCATGAATCAGCTTAGTGATGCTAGTCCCATCTTTGAGCACATCAACCTTCTCTTCCAATCTGTATCCCCCAAGCCTCGGGATGAGTCGCGTCCAAACATACCAGTACACTGTCGCAGCGGTGATACTATACTCGTTAGCAGGGTTTGGGTTGTGTAAAGCAAGGGCAACTTACATGCTCACACCAACGATAGCATATGTGGCGTAGAAAAGTTCGCCCTCATGCCGATTTGGCGGCGGGAAGAACGGTGCAGCGAGCAGGCTGAGACTCAAACAGATCTTCAGCACCACAGCAGGCAGCCAGACTTTGAACGGCCTCTTCAGATCTGGACGCTTGAACCGCAGCCACACGAGGCCGAATGCCACTGCCAGGGAAAAGAATTGGCCAGGATAGCCTTCTACTTCTAGGATGAAAGAGTATACCTCACGCGATGGCGGTAGTGTTATGACGAGGAGGGAGGGCACGAAGTGTACCGCCAACCCTCCTATCGGCGAGTTGAAGGGGCGTGTTGTTGAGAGAATCTCAGAAAAGGGAAGGAAGCCCTGCCTGGCAATCTCCTGTTTGAGCCGGGCCTGAGCAAAGGCCACGACCAGTACGTTTCCCACAGCGGACAGGGCGACGGCCAAGGGTAAGATGATGCGCCCCACGCCGGGTCCGAAGACCCTCTCGAAGAAGAGCGCTGCAATCAATTCGCCGCTCTCCTTGATCTCGTCGATGGGGACAACGATGAAGTAGGCCACGTTAATGAGCAGGTACAACCCGCAAGCCGTAATGAGCGCAGTGAATGTGACAGACCGCAAGGTCCGCACGGGATCCTTGACCTCGTTCAGCACGTTGTTGGCATTGTCCAGCCCAGCGAAAGAGTAGAAGACCTTGAACAGCGACGTCGCGATGATTCCCCAGTTCCAGTTTGAATGTTCCCAAAGTGTGTCCCATGCCAGGCTAGACCCTTGCGCTGGTAGTCGCTGTTGCGGACGCAGAAGCACGACGTACAGGCCAGACAAAATCATGAATATGATGATGCCAACTTTGACCCAGCCTAGGAAATTTTGCAAGCGGACGCCTGTCTTGGGGAATACGGCATGGACTCCGGTGACGGCTGCGAGCAATGCCACAGCCAGCCCCTTGCGGAGAACATCGCCCGCCTGCTCCTGGCCCAGTGCGAACAGAACATACTGGCTGAAGACAATGCAGTTGCTGGCCGTGAAGCCGAGCAGGACGGCATAGACAGCCACCAGTGTCGAGGCGAGGAAGCGCGGCCGCCTGTATGTGAACTCGAGGTACACCTTGTCGCCGCCCGACCTCGGCAGCATGGAGCCGAATTCCAACGAAACGGCCAAGCCGCAAGCGGCCACGGCAGCACCCACGACCCACAGCAGCAGAGCTAGCCCCGGGCTGCCAACGGCGCGAACTATGGAGCCCGGCGTTGCGAAGATACCACTGCCGATGACTCGGGAGATGACAAGGATATAAGCACTCTGCCAGGAGAGCGTGCGGCCCAGGGAGGAAGCTTCGGGGAGCACATCGTCTTCGATACGACGCGATATTTTGTTGAAGTTATTGGAGTACGGCGTCGTGCTTGAGCTGCTAGAGGTGGCCGGTGAGAGGAGCGGCTGGGCTTCGGCGTCGGTGATCGTCATGATGGTTGGTCGTTTCTGGTAGTCGTCTGGCTTTGCTAACATGCCCGACTTCGCACCGGCACTTGTAATCGTGGAAGCGACGTTTGCAGGCTGTGTATATCTGTCATGTCTCGGGCAACTACAGTTTGTTGGTCTTGGAAGTGTTCGCAAAAAACGGACGCCCGCGTCATAGTTGTGGGAGACATCGCAAGATAGAAATCATGGGGCGCGATGAGTGCTTGATAAGCGCAGCTGACATCTGAGACTCCATGGTGATGGCGTTTGATGGCACCATGGCGATCCGAGCACGTGTTTGGAGGTGGGTGTCGCGAAGGAATGTTTTGGTGGTACAATGAAGCTCGCACGCCATCGCGATACTGATGACGAAATGCGTGTGCGGCTCTCCTACAACCCTGATGCCTAGGATGCTATCCGCAGGTGTTAGTCATCAGACCCAAACACGATCATCACAACGTCATGGGAGTGGAAAGGCACGGACGATATACACGTATCGAAACGGCAACTCAACTTGAATCGCAAATTGACAAGCTTCTTAATCTATAGATCAGCGTCCACGATC